TGAGGATTTCGTCTATAGCGACGAAAGGGGGAGTCTCATACGGTGATAGCACCGATCGTACCGCACTCGAAGGCATTTTGCACAAGAGAAAAGAAGAGTGATTTTCGGTTTGAGCCAGGAAAGGCAGCTGAACAGTCCAGCCGAACTGCAAATTGAATGCCCCTTGTATTGCTGAGTTTGCGAGAAGGGTTAGTGGTTGGTTGGAAACGTTGAAATGGCCGCGACAGGCTCACATGCGACCAATACCACGAAAACTCATTTCCCGCACTTTGCTCAAGCGTCTCCTGCACTACCCCGGTGCCCCAGTGACTGTCAGTCAGGCACTCACTTCATCTCTTCCGAAGTGCCCACAGCTAAAATGACAGTCAGACGATCAAAACTCGTTAAATATCTTCTACAAATTCCTGACCAGATTCTCAAAAGGGAGGTAGGTGAAGCCATTCTTCAGATATCAAAAGGTATTTCTCTCACGACACACCACTTGAGTGACTGTCCATGCTTGGTTGCGTGACCATGTGTTCACACTCACTGAAGTCATACACTCTCTGCTCTTTACTCTTGGGCATAAGCCGCTCCAAAGCTGCCAAAACCTCGTAGGGAAGAGCAGAAGGGGCCTCAAGAAGCACAGCTGCAGCTGCATAGTTCTGGCATCCTTCCCCAGAGTGTTTCCTCCAAATATTCAAATGTTTGGGGTATGCCCAAGTTGTTCAGGGCCGCTGGCTGGAAGATCTAGCTCGCATCCCTGGGAACGAAAGGCAAATAAAGTGGCTTGGTGCACTTGGAATGAATCCAAGAACTTGGTCGCCAACCAGTGTCCGCCAGAAGAGAATCACAGGGCCCGTGCACAACATGCATTGCGACCTTCAACAAATGCAAAATTGAGAGTCAACATCAGAGTCTTCAACCTCAAAAAACATAGACTGAACTGAGCCAAGAGCTCCGCTTCATGCTGCCTGCGCCACATGTGAAACGCTCCAAACAAGAAAGCCGTTGGGCCCTGCACAGCATTGCCCTGGCCCAAATACCCCACTACCCAGACAAAAGTTGTTCTTCTTGACCCTTGTCACATCGCAACCCTTTCCCCTACAATCCGGTCAAAATTGAAGGTTCCTTAATTAATTCAATTTAAAACGGTGTGATCATTGACCGTCCCACTCCTCCCAAGCAAAATGAGCTGCATAATTCGATCCGCTAGTGATCCGCATGCGTTTATAACAACGGCGTAAGAAGAACAAAATTTAGTCTGCCTGAAGGGTGATGGCCATGTTAATGCAGGGCTTGCGCATACTAGCATGTCATGTCCCAACCTCCCAATTTTGCATATGTCTTCATCTGCTGAGTTGTTTTGAGAGCGGTCAAAAACCATGGCCTGCAACATGTTTTCTTGGGGCTGTCATTATGTAGTTTCGGGGATTCTTATGCCCTCCAAAACTACACAAAAACTAAAACAAAATGCAAAGCTTCATGTATGACGCACTACCCAGACAAAAGTTGTTCTTCTTGACCTGTGTCACATCGCAACCCTTGCTCCCTACCAAGTGTGAAGTAAGCAGGTCGGGGCGGTCAATTAATCACGCATGAAAGCTCTTGAAATAGATTCAATTTAAAACGGTGTGATCATTGACCGCCCCACTCCTCCCACGCAAAACGGGCTTCATATTTCGACCCGCTAGTGATCCACATGTGCTCTAACAACGGTGTAAAACGAACAAACTTCAGTCTGCCTGAAGTAGTGTGAACAAGCTGCCTTATCAACAAGGCCCCAACTGGCCATAGTGACATGGGTATCGAACCGATTGATGCGGTCCAGTTCTGGAGTTGCAGGAGGGTGACCTTGATTGAAGCTGTCTATATATACTTCAAGAAAGTCTTCTGCCCCTCACGGATTGCACCGCCATGCTATCAGCCTGGTATGCATCACAAAAAACAGGACTTCGAATCTACCATATGTCAGTTTCTATTCAAAGCTATAAATGAGAATTGAACCATCAATAACGAAGATTTGAATGACTCAATGCAATCACAATAGGGCGCAACACACCTGTGTGTCTGCTGTGCTATTTGCGATGTCTACAGCGCACACGCTACGCCGGGAAATCTTCCTAAAACTCGGACAAAAAACAACAAGAATACGGCCAAGCAAATCTACATTTCCATCAAAGTCAAAGGAGCAGTAGATGTCCCCTGAACCTGTACCAGATTTTGGGTTTTGATCAACAAGACGCGAGCACATGTTATAGAGACATGTGATGTTGGAATTTGCCTTAAAACCTTTCGCGAGTGCTCATGAGAAAAATAGGCCTGCTGCAACAGCAACGGCAGCAGCACAGGCACGACCAAGCGAAGACGCATGGGCAAAGGCCTCAGCGAGGAAACGGCCTCCAGCAGTATCGGGCCCTGCTGAACAACGTCACTGGGCTGCAAACACCATGTTCTGGGCCTTTGCACTATCAACTCCGCAACCTGATCCACGCACACACAAGAAGCAAAATAAAAGTTGCTTATGACAATCATCTTGGGACCTCAAGGGCAGAGAGCGCCGCGAGCTGGCAAGGTGACGTGGAGGGACAAGGATTCTGTCTTCCTCAGTGTAGTTTGTATCATTCATGCAAAGGTACAATACAGTCTTGGGTGGCTGGCCCGCTCTTTGTCGTATCTGACTTTACTGACTTCATCTCCTCCGTCTCTGTGCCAACGGATGCGACCGTCCTCAAACACTTCAAGCTATCCAGGGTTGCCTGGAGCGTCGCAATCTGTGCCTGCGACAGACCTTTGTCAAAGATGCCGCAGCCGTCATCCCTTGAAAGCCTTGGGCATTGTGCAACTGACTGCATCCTCGGGATAGTCTCAAACCAGCATGGCACCCGACTCAAGAACGCGGAGCGCCAAGTCCCCACGCTCCAGGACCGGCTGACTGGCAGTTTAAACACCATGAAAGGGTCACTTTGGAGCGAATAAGGCAAGTCAGCCCAAAAAGATAAAATTCCTATCATTCGTCGCCTGTCCCTCACAAATCCTAAACGCAATTCAACTGCTAACGCAAGGTTGCAGGAAAACCCTATTGTATTCGATGGAGCAATTTCAACACATCAGACTATTTCCATCACACGCAGGAGCAGAAGTACGCATATCACATATGAGGCAGCGTCAACAAAGCTGTTTTTGTTTTGACTTAGAAGTTCCCTATCGTATTCCATGTTTTGGCTTTTCGTACTTATTCACTGGGGCGAAACCACGCTCAGCAGAATTCACGAGTTCGTGTTAACCAGAAACCACCAAGCAGGAATTTGGAGGAAGCTAAAGTTTATTGTCCCAAAGAATCTTTGGTTGCCTTGTCATCAAGGTCATCGGCAAGTGGTTCCATTTCCCTGTGTCCAAGTTTCTGACAATGAGTTATTGAAGTGGATATTTGAAGCCTACCTTTGGTACGCTGGCACAAAAATATCACGGCCAAAACAGCAACAGACGGCCCAAACGCAAAATACAAGCAGTCACGGACAGAAACTAACTCGAACCAGGTTCAGCATGTACGGCACCACCACCACAACAGCAGCAGCAGCAGCAGCAAAAATGCACAAACAAATAAACTGATGTTTCACGGGTTTCAACCACAAATGACCGTTTAAGTACTGGTCTCTTTTTGAGCTACGCCGCGGGTACGACTAGGTGTTTTATTCGATGTGAAACAACATAGACAAACAAACAAACAAACAAACAAATCCAACCAACCAACCAACCAACCAACCAACCAACCAGCAAGCAAGCAAGCAAGCAACAGCAACAGCAACAGCAACAGCAAGAGCAACAAACATTGGATGCACAACAACCACCTGATGCACAACAACCATACAACAAGCACAGCCTAAAGGACTAAGTTGAGAGCAGTCGAGCAAAACTGTCAATCCCAACACACGTATGACAGTAACATCAGTGAAGGGACAAGTAAGGAAAACAACTTAGACGCGTAGAAATACTTGAGCAAAGGTACTTTGGGGCCAATATTTCAAACAGGGCTGCCTCGAGAGGATGATCATCACGTGCGACCAACAATCGCCCCAGGCCAGTATGCCTCCTGTCAAGCCTGTGCAGGACGGAAAAGGCTGGAAAATCTTCCTTTCCCAACCTGGACCTCCCGGCTCATCGCAGGCATCAAGAGTTGGCACCACAGGGACTGGGACCTCAGCGCAAAGGTTCTTTTACTGTCAAATGACACTCACTGACGTCAAGAGCATAGGCTTCGGCGAAGGGTGGTCTTTCATCATCCCATAGTGCCATTCCGGCTGCCATTGGACAACGCCCCCGACCTCGATCCTGTCAGATCCCTTCCACTGAACATGTGCAGCTGGGCTGGTCTCATGCGGTCGCCTTGCTGGGCGTTTTTGTGAACTCATGTAAGTCTTGAATGATCCTCAGATATCCTCAGTCTGCGTGAAATGGGATGTCACAATGTTCCAAGTCCATGGCTTCTAGGACACGTCTAGCATGCTTTGTTTGCCAACCTCCCACTACTACATGCGCACAATCACACAACTCGAAGCTGCAACAGCATATGGGCAAACAGTGAGTGAGATTCATACGAGAACGTGCACCAAACGGTATCTGGATTTGTCTTGAAATCCTCTGGATTTTCCCTCTTCCGCGTCAGGTGAAACTGCTTAGATGGTGTCGGACACCCTACACACAAATAACAACTATCGGCTTGCAAGCTTTGAATTCTGCTGAAATCTATCCCTTCAGCTGCGAATGCAGCGTCCCAAGATCAGCCCCACTCATGAGAGTGCAGCAAGCCCACGCTAGCAGTCATCCTGTGGATTTAGCCACAAGCTCGATGCAAAATTTGGCGCTGCGATCTCCAATCTCACCAGCCTTTGCTTCCGATTTGCGCTGCTCCTGCAATAAATGTCTGTAATAAGCCTCAAGATTCCGTCGGCCCCTTATTTCTCAAGTTGCACATAAGTATAAGCGCTGCTAAATGCAGTGCTTCTCAGGAACAACGAAACTTAGCTCATCTTGGGCTCATAACCGTCCTCCTTGTTTTGCATCAAGCCCCTGCAAATCTGATCTTGCCAATGCCGCTGCAACAGAATCCTTGTGAACAAAGCAAACTGTTGGAAACTCCTTTTGCCATCTCCCATTCAATCTCTCTGATGCAACACATGTTGGCTGAGCTCGCAAACAATGCACCGTTTCTTTGCTTGGGCTACAGTTGGAAAAAAAAAGAAAAAACTCCAAAATAGCGGCTCAGGAGATGGCAAATCCAGCTTGATCAAGCTTCGATTGCTGCGAAAAGCAGCAGCTGCTGCCTTGTAGACATCGTTCCCCTGGCAGTTCCCTTCCCATCCCTTCCCCAGTGCATCAGCAAGCCAAACCAAATCAATTCTAAGCTTTGATTCAACGGAAGCTATAGTCTCCCCATGTGGAAAGCATGTTGATGCCAAAGAAACACCACCTTCCACTTGTTTGAACAAGAAGGATGGAACTCCACGCTTCATGCCGAATGCCGACGTCGAGACCCTACTGTCGGAGACTCCCGGAGTGGTCGTCTTATTTGCGGGGGAATTCGTTGGAGGACCAAAGCGACCCCCAAAAACCGAGGAGAAAAATGGAAAAAACGTCCACCTTCAAGCTACCATGTGGGACTCGTGGTTTTGTTTTCCCCTTGCCTGCTCCTTCATCAAGTCCCTGAAGCTTCCCTTTGCACAGGCTTGAAGATTCACCTTCAGGTCCTCCAATCATCATAGCTTCACCAAGTGCCAATGCAGGAAAACTCCGGCCTTTAGACCTGTGTTCTCAGCCAGGGCTTCAAATATCACCTGCAAAAATGGGATGAAAAGCGGAGACAAGTCGGACCAGTCACAGAAATGACCAAAAATCCACTGCGGTGACCACCTTTGACCACGTTACCACGTGTGAGTCGAGCTATTTCTGAGAGGGAGACAGTGAGGTCGCACATCTCCAAGAAGTTGGCCTTGTGAAAACTCAAACATCAGCTCTCCAAACCAACAGGCGTGTTTCAATTTCCTCCTTTCCACATTGTTTCACCAGCTGGGTTTCTGGATTGCGACAGAGACATACCTGACCTGGACATCCAGCTTCTGCAGGGTCGAGTTGGATCTCAACGCCGCTGCCAACTCTTGGATGCATGCCTTTGAGGTGAGAACAAAAACGAACTGACAACTTCCATGTGGCCATGCCAGCGCCGTGCCACGCTCAGCTCACAGGATAGAGCTAAATCACGACATTACAAAAAAAGATTTAAAAGAAAAAAGTGCGTATACAGTTACTCAAGGATGGAAACGTGTGTCCAATGCCTAATCCCATCTATGTGAGGGTTATCCTCGTACTCGTCACCTCTTTTTTCTCCCTTCTTTTCTACTCATTGGATTCATTGAGTCGGGCTAGCTTGCTCATCTGCGATTTCGCCGGCTATCAGATCTTCTCCGCCTTCAAAACAGGGGCATCGGAACGAGAACGTTCCATCTGAAGTTCTTCACAAAGCATCGACGCTTTTGATACTATCGCATACCGTTGTATAATATGTCCTTTGTGAATAATGTCCGTTGATACAATATGTCCGTTGTATAATAGGTCTATATAGGTCTATATGTCCTTTGCTGTTCCTTTCTTTGCTGACCTGTAGACCTGACCTTTTTCGCTTGATTGCTACCGTAGACCTGACCCATCCTGGTCCGGGAGCCACTTCTTGATCTGCTTCGAGAACGTCGAGAGCCTGCACACAGGCGAAGTTGCCGACGGTCGATGGATGTGTGCTGGGACAGGGGGACTTTTGAGCACCGGCTCTGGGTTGGCCTCTCTTCCGTTCGTCGAGTTCCACGTTCTTGGCCTTCGGAGTGGGCCGATGTTCTTCGAAAAAAGAAATCAAGAAAGGCAAAAAAAAAAACACGGGACATCGATGGAGGACGGTCGGAGCCTCTGGCTTCCTGCCAGAGCCACCAGGTTCCTGGTCGCGGCCGAGGCCGAGTCCGAGGCACGTCGCCCCGCCGCGACGCGTCGCGCGGGTCCTTCACATCGAAGCGCACTTGGTCACCTCCTGACCGTGGCGTGACCGTCACACGGTCGCACGGGACGGTCGGACGAAGGTCGAAGGTCCGAGGCATCGGCGTTTGAGGCCGCTTTTCTTCACCCGGTCGCGGACCTGGCAAACGCGGCGGGAGTGGAAAACCCCGCAGGACTTCGGTCAAAACGTGGGGGGGAAAGAAGCGATGTAGCCCATGTTGGGGCCCGAAAACGAACAAGCCCGAAGCGACGCGCGTTTGTAAAAGAAAAATTAAAAAAACAAAATGTGTAAAATCACATGTCCAGAGGAACATCGACGTCCTTGAAACCTTCAGCGTGAAGAAACACATCCGAGCCTCAAAAAAAAGCATCCAGAAAGCAAACAATAAGGAGGGAGCAATGCCTGTGCAGAAAACTCTCGAAGACTGTGCTGTTTTTCCAGGTGCATATGTCACAGAAACAAGATCATTTCTGGGGTCAGGCACGGCCGCTGTTGCAAGAGACAAATCCAAATTGTCGCTCGACATTCCAAGTGTTCACAGTTCCAGTCTCCTCGCAGCATGAAAATCTCAGCGACAGAATCCTGTCACTGTCTCTAGACTCTAGTCCTGCGGTTTTCTGGGCATGCTGAAGGATCTGCTGCTACCTTTGAACGAAATGAACATCAACAAACCATTGCAGTTCGAACATGAATGGGATGTTTGTTTGGAGGGCAGTTCACTCTCTCTCTCTTAGGTTGGAGGCCAACGCAAGTCGATTGGAGGCCATGACAATTAGGTTGGCCTCTCTCTCTCTCGGTCTTATCTCGGTCTCTCTCAGAGCTCTGATCCAGGGCAAAGACTCGAGCGCCCCATGGCGCCAACGCCGTCGAGGGGTGGTCTCGGTGTCTCCGAGCAAAAGCAAATGCCGTCCTTCTTTGGAACGCGAGAGATGAGAGAAGCGATGAGGTGGTGCCGAATTCGAAGGCTGCTTGGCTCATCTTCACATGCTCTTGCTTGTGGGAACACCACGCTTCTGGCAGCCAGTATCTTCACTGGGCATGTTCAACTCAAAGTTAGCCTGTGGTGTCAAGCTTGGACCCGTGGTGGACTGTTCGAAAGCATTGGAACCTGGGCATGATCAATTCCGGGAGTTCTTTCATCCATGTCCTTTCCAGCTGGAGCAGAAGTTGCAGGAAGCAGGAAGAATGTTTGGAAAGATATGTAATTAATATGTAAATATTTCGTCACTCCGCAAGTTGTGCATGACCGAAACTCTCTTTTTCTCTCGATTGGGGATGCTCACGGGACAGCTGTGCTGTCAGAGTTATTCGAAAATTGGCAACTTACTTGACTGCATACTTTCTGTACATCTTGACCCTTTCGGACTCACGTCACTCTTACTTAGACACCCTACTTACTTGACTGCTTACTTTCTGGTTGGGCGTCCCCCACACACCCCACCCCGGACTACCCGGGGTTCTGGGCGGTGAGGGTGGGACTTGAAAAATCGTGTCGTGGGGGGCCACTTGTAGCCAAAATGGCCAACGTATGCACAACCACTCATTCCCTTACTCATTCGTTATTGCTACGTTCTCAAAATACACTATTACTTCGTAACAGTTTGCTTTCGTCACTCCGCAAGTTGCGCGTGACCGAAACTCTCTTTTTCTCTCGATTGGGGATGCTCACGGGACAGCTGTGCTGTCAGAGGGTCCTCATGGCCTCCTCCATCACTACTTGTGATCGAACTACGACTTGCTCTACATCAACATGCGGGAAATCGTCGAAGTAGTTGACAACTGGTAGCATCAAGAACCTCTGAAGCACTTCCCTGAGAGCTCTTGCCGCTCTGTTGAAGGCCATGACTGCTCCTGTGGCGCCAAACGGGAGGACACATGATATGAAGTACTTAATCTTGCTATCACTGGGGTTCAGAACCGCTATAACTGCATTGCTCCTCTCTTTCGGGGCCAGTGCAAGTTGCTTATATGCAGACTTGAGGTCGAGACACCTGCCGCTGAGCTTTAGGTCCGCCCCCCGAAACTCCTTGGCTTTGGGACCTTCCAAGACCATGCCTGAAGGCAGCTCAACCCTCGCCCTCTCGCCACGCCATCCGTGCACCCTCATCCAGGCCGCTGCCAATGAAACTACTTCATCGACACCTCCGAGATCCAACTTTTCACCTGGGCCATAACACTGATTCACCGAGAACTCGCTCAGGTCATCGATGTTTCTCACCTTCTGCCCTTGGACTACGCCGAACCTCCTACTTGGCGTCCAAAACGGGGCCCACGCGATCCCCTACCTGGTCGGCATCGAGCGGCCCTTCAAGCCACCCATTCTGCACCTCTTTGAGCGTGGCCGCAGCTGTCTCGCCCGCCTAACTGCTTCCACTGGGGTCATGGGTATCCCAAACGTAACAACTTGACCTCCGCCCCCGCCCTGAGAGTCGGACGGAAATTGGTGCAAAATGCGTGTACCAACAGGAAATGAACGCCCGCCAAGGTGTTGAACCGCTTGCGACCTACCTTGCCACCTGTCAACTCTCTGCAAGTCAGTGGGGTCAGTCACTAGGATTTCTACTTGTTGACCGTCCTCAGGCAACATGGCGGTCGCTCGTCTCCCTCGGGGCTGTTTGCCTCCAGCGATTCTCCATTGACTGGAGGCCTGGGCGGCGAGCGGGGTCGCCCGAGGTTCACTCTGGATGCAGTGGAACCCTCGCGCACGAGCTATTCTGCCGACAATAACGGCAACACGTTGGCAGAACACGAGTGGGTACTCCGCTTCAGACGCGGTATCGAACTTCCATCCACCCGCAAGGGACTTACTTACCCCCCACTGCTTATGCTTGTGTTTGCCGTCACACCGAACGGCGAGCTGGCACAGGTCTGCACAGTTGCGCAGTAGCGCGGTCTGCTTATCCCTGTAGCCCCACCGTGCATGCACGCATGGAAGCACGTGAAAAACACACCGGTCAACTGGAACAATGAAGCAATACACGGCACAAGCCACATGCAGCTATTCTTTGGGTTCTCAATGAAAACGATCACTCCATTGGCATGGCCATGTCTAAACACTGCTGCTGCTGCTGTTTCGTAGCGCGCGTTAGCCAACTCCACTCTCATCAAGTTCTGTCCCCTGAGGCTCGGCAGACCACTTGGGTGTTCTTCGCTCCTCAACAGTGGCGGCGATGGGACTCCACGCTTCTGTAACCACGTCGGGATGGGCTTATCCCGAGCTCTTGGGATGGTGCCACAAGGTGGGGCCATAGGGATGAATACAACGCCGCCTCTATCAACCTTACTCTGCAAAAACTTGGCACTACTTACTTTGGACAGGTCCAGCACTATACATGGTCCTACTCGGTTCTTACACTTCTTATGGTCTATACCTACTGCGGAAAATCCATGCAACTTCAGACACTTTGACAACTTGCACGACCCTGCAAACAACTCAAACGTTTGCGGCACTTCACCACTCACATTTTCACTTTGTCTGTTGGGATCGTGCCCTACGGCGAAAAAGCTTTCTGTACATTCGACGGGATCGATGCGAGTTCTCCTGGCTTCGCCCGTTTCCAGGCCTGTCTCATCGGCCTCCACTGCCTCTCACTGGCTCTGGCAGTTCACTGCTGCATGACCCTGCTTCCAGCAGCGCATACAAATGCGCAGCCCCTTCGTGCACTTCCCATCTTGGGCTTGCAGGTAATCAGGTAGCCATGTTGTAGCCGTAGCAGACGCGTTCTCCCTGCTTTGTGGGCGTCAGGCCCCACAACTCCTTCGGCATCTTGATCGGCATCTTCTTGGGGGCCGCCGTTTTGTCCTCTTCGCGCTGCAAGGTCTCCTGCTTCTTCTTCTTGGTCTCGGCCTTCTTCAGCCGCTCCTTCAATTTCTGGTTCTCCTTCATGAGCTTCCTCTTGCCAGCACCGGTCTGCTCTTGTTCCTGCGGCTGGCTCTCTTTGGTAGCTTCCTTCACCCCACTTGCACGGGCCCCGGCAGCGGCAGCAAAAGGACAATGAATCACCTGCTCCAGGGCCGGCGAGGCGCCTTCCGGCTGGGTTCCTTCCCAAGTCCCCTTGGATCTGCTCGCTCATGAGCTTCCATGCCCTTCGATCTGCCGCTGTGACTTGCGACAGAATGACCTGGCTGTATCCAGCAGGCGGCTCCCTCTCGTACTCCTGGAAGAGCTTGTCCACCAACTTCTCATGCACCGTGAATGTCATCGCGTCGGCAATCTCGAGAGCCAGCCCACGGCGAGTGTACGCCTGGCGCAACCTCAGGTCTGTCCTGGCGTCGGCATCAGGGATCTTCGCCTCGTCATGGGCCCTCAGATGCCCACTTGCGTCCCTCTTGATCAGCTCCTCCGTCTTGATGTTTTGGAGTTCCTGATCACGTGTCGGGATCTCGTGCGGGGCCAAGTACTTGAGCTCGCCCTCGAGCTCGACTTTCACTTGTCGACCACATGGTGTGCCGGCTCGAGCTGGTCGTTGATCTGGAGGTGCCCATATGTGGTCCTCAACAAGGCCCACCTTGTCTTGCGCTCAACTGCTGGCAACTTGCGGGTCTTCGACCCGTCGGCCTCCTGGGTGCCCTCGAGCCGCTGTCGCAGCTCTGCTGCCACCACCGTATAGGCCTCATGATACAACTTCCGCACTTTGGGCAAGTCAGCATGGTCTGCCCGCCCGAGGATCGGCACCACAACTTACCACAACTTGGTTGATGAAGGCCGTATCATCCCCAGCTCCTGGTGCCCAGCTGCTTGCGAAGGCGAACGTGGATAGGGTGGTCCATCCCCTTCTCCCCATCTCGGCCTGATAGGCGTCTAGCCCAAATTCCTTCAACTTCGCTTCAAACACTGCCATCGACTCTGTCAGTGTCGCCATGGCCCGACTTGTCTGGCCCGACCACACTTCGATCTTGAGCCTTCACTTCACTGAGTCGCTCAACCTCTCGCTGTGCTCTTGACCTTGTTCTCAACTTACTTTACTTCTTTACTTAGTTTGGATCATGCTCACACGACTTCAAACTCACAGCTCTACCTTCCACCTGCCTCACCCGCTCAGCCCGCCAGTCCTCGGCGGCCACTTCCATCGGCAGGACGTCCCCGCCCACTTGACCTGATCCGGACTACCCGGCCACAGGTCGACGCTTGGGAACTTCTCCCACTGGCACTTCCACTTGCACTCCACTCTTCACGTGTCACTTACTTGCTATTACACACAAACTTCACTTGTGCACTTACTGATTCACTCATGCATGGGGTGGTTCCCTTGCAGAAGGCAAGAGCACTTCTAAAACTTCCTGCTCTTGCGGCGGGAGCTCCATCACGTCGAAGTTGATCCACATACGCGTATAGCACTGTAGAGCATCATAGCACTCAACCTTACCTGCAAGGTGCCGTTCTTCTTCTTGGCGAAGACATCATCCAGGACCTGGGGCCCATGCTGACGGATCATCGCCTCCACTTGCCATCCTGTCAAGGCCTTGTCTCGTTCCTCGGACTGGGCCCTTTCCCAAGGTAGCTGAGTGCCGCCCTTGACCACGAAGCTGGGGTTCACTTTGACGTCCTTGACCTCCTCGTTCTTTGGCTCAACTTGGATGTCCATAAACTTTGCACTTCTGCCGCTATCCATCAGCATGTCGAGCGGCATCAAACGATCAGGCTTCCCTAACACCACTGCCGCATAGCCCCTCTCCCAGGGCATCTTCAGAGGCTCTGGGACGAACCTCTTGAGCTTCTGACTCTCGCTGGTGATCACTCCATACTCATCTCTCTGCACGTCCATTGTCTGCTCACTTGCCGGCCTTGATGAGGACGCTGTAGTAGAATCCACCAACTGCCGAAGTTTCATCAGTGGGCTCACCTCTTCCGGCTTGTCATCTGGCGGCTCCGTGGCCGAGTACATTTCAGTCGGAGTCTCTGCTAGCCACACATCTGCGGCCCTCATAGCCTCAACCTCCCTCACTCGCACCGCCAGATCCTGCAGGTTCTCAGCTTCTGGAAGCTCTTCGTCGTCCTCATCTGGCACCGTGATAGGCCCCCCCGTCACGAGCTCCACGTCCTCCCCCTCCATGGGGGCACACGGATACCTACTTGAAAAATCGTGTCATGGGGGGGCCACTTGTAGCCAAAATGGCCAACGTATGCACAACCACTCATTCCCTTACTCATTCGTTATTGCTACGTTCTCAAAATACACTATTACTTCGTAACAGTTTGCATAACTAATATGACTATACTATATAATCAATATACAGGGTCCCAACGGCAGCAAGTAGATTCTGTGTTATTTGGGATTCTGACGCCACTCGATTCCAAGGCTGTGTTGCCCATCATCCTGGTGCGGCTTTCGCAGTGCACGATCAAAAAGGAGAAAGTCATTCACATGTCAAGCCGTGCCAGGGATGGCAAGTGCTTCAAATGCGTATTCTTGGTCAAGGCTTGGAAGAGCTTTGGCAGGATCCTGCGTGGGTGATGCGAGTGCGGCCAGCATCCACCGACAGAATGGAAACGTGTGACAGGAACTTTTGACCACCTGTCAGTCACCTGTGTCACAGAATGAGTGCCTTTGCTTTCAAGGCCTTCCCAAGGCAGGTGACTTTGCCCGCGCCCTTTTTCCGATCAACCCCGCGGCAGCTTCGCCATCAGCTCAGCCACCTTGGAGCTGGGTGGGCCCTTTTGTGGCGCAGTCGAAGACGCGATCCGACTCGCTCCTATCCCGGCAACACAAGCCACTTGGAAGACCGGGGCGCCCCCACACTGGTGCCCGTGCGCATAGGAGACGTCGGACTGACGGGTCCGGCTCGGCCTCGACCTCGGACGGCCGGCCGGATGGGTCGGCGTGGTCGTGGACGCTGCGTGGAGTGTGAAGTCGGGCCTGCCACTTCGGGCTGATCTCTTCCATTGGGCCTCACAGGGAGCAAAAAGAACAGGTGTCACTTTCAGCGAGGTCGATGGATCTCTGATAGAACTCCCGGTTTTATGTCGAAAGGGCGTGTGTCGCGAGGTCGACGGCTCAGAACGGCTCTACCGAGCCTTGATGGAAGCAATTCCTGCTGAGATAGCATTGCCTGACTGTCTCTCGCAGGAACTTCAAGTGCATATCGAAAGCTGCTGAACAACACCAGCTGTTGCTGTTCTTCATATTTCATGTCTCTGTCTTGCACGTTTGCCGTGTCTAACCTCCTTCATGGCATGTTTGAGGGCTGTCATGAAAACCTTGCATTCTTTGGCTTTCAGCATGCTCGAGCTACTCCATGCTACTCCTACTCCCCGCCTCAGCTCCATTCCTCCGCGACCTGCCACAGGTTCACCGGTCAGTGTCGGCACCGGTCAGTGGCACCAAGGAGGTCCCGGCCTTGAGGACGGGACGGGCTCGCCTGCCGAATAGCAACACACGTCGGCTCATCTGTCCAAGCCACAGCTCATGTTGAGCAGTGGAAAGTCTTGATGCATAAACCGTTCTCCCCCCGAATTGGACATCCTCTTCATATGTGTTTTTTTAATTCATCAAGAGTCTTTTCTTAGCTCATGCCTCATGTCTCGTGCTTTGCGAAAATTGAAAGTGAAGCAATACCGATCGCTTGATTGCGACAGACTTGGCTCATGTCTGAGACTCATGAGCCTTGATCCTCGAAGGTGAACAGTGACTCACTGGCCTGCCACGGATCGTATGGATTGCCACCCTCACCGTTCGTTCACCGCGTGTGGTTGATCATTCGCGGCAGACTTGGCCTGGTCGGCCTGCAAACCTCGGGCTCGACCTGCCAAGTCTGAACCACCTTGGAGAGGCGGCATCATGGCGGCGTCCGAGGTCTCCGAGTCAAGAGGACAGAGGACCAAAGAATCCGTGACTTACCCCAAGTTTGAGCGGTTTGTTTGTGCCATTACGACTGAGTCCGGAGTCCGGCGTAGAGCCACTGAGCTCCCCGGGCATGGCCGCGCCTTCATCGCTTGCAACAACTGCCCGCTCCGGCGGACTAACCTGGAACGCCATGAGGACGGCTCTCAGGACGGCAAACGATGGCTTTCGGCATCCAACGAGTCACCATGTTTGTTCGCCTGATGTTTTGACTTCTTTGTGTCCCACCAGTTGGTGCGATGTCGCAAGGCATTTAAAGGTATGTTTAATGATTTTGCAATCAGTTCTTCACTATTCCTTCGCCGTCTCGGTTCTTGCTGCGTGCCGGACCTTCATCCACCTTTATCCACCTTCATCCACCTTCTAAGTCTACAGCATAACTAGTCAGAATACGGAGTACAAAATGAAGACCGGTGGGCTACAGCCCTTGGGCTCCCGAGCTGTTCCTCCATTTGCTCCGCACTCTGCTGGATCAGGGCTTGCGCTTTGCTCAGTAATCCAGTTAACCTTGGAGCTGGACATTCCCCAAAACCAAAAAATGTCCCTGCGCAAAGTCTTTTCTGCTTGGGCAGTGCAGGCAGACCCACATCTACAGTCTCCTATTGGCATGTTGCGCAGTGGCCAGCACGCTGGTTTTAAAAACGGGCCGGATCATTGCGCGGCTCAGTTCAGGAAACAACGCCCTGCACAAAGGTTTCGATAGGTTCCTAGGTCCCTGACTGCCTGTCAGCAGCTGCCAATTGCTCTTCCGTCTTGGAAGCTAGCAAGGATGCTTGCTTGGTGGCCTTGCCGGTCGCGGCGCAAGTCATACCCGTCAATTCATATGTACTTCTTAGTGGCAGAGTGTTTTTTGATGCAGAAAACAGATCCTAGGATTCTAGAAAGGATTGAAGCCCGTCAAGCTCCTAGTGCCTCCCATGTTCAAGACCAACTCAGTCAAGTCGTTTTCACCAACTCCCAGCCAAGCTGAGTTGAAGCCTGTTTCATGTGAAGAATCGGGGGGCCACTCGGCCAATCCCAATCCATTCGATTGGTCCACCCAAGCTGTCCACAAGCGAAGCTCAGATCCGGCCGAGCTCGAACGCCTCCGGCTCTCCGCCTCGAAGCGGAGCAGGTCAAAGAGATCGTTCCGAAGCTCCTGAACACGTGACTTGTTCGTTCGCTCTCTTCAGGTCACATGGGGGGGCCTTTTTTGGGGAATTAAACGCGTGCATGGGAAGCGAAGCCACCGTGGGTGAGATGAACTCCGTCTCGGTGAACCAAAGAAACACTGCGTGGATGAGACAAACCCGTGTTTGCGAGAAGGGCTCCGTCCTGTGGTACAGGATCTTCGAAGCGGCTGTCCTCGGCCTTGACAAGGCGGCTCTTGATGGAAGACTGGGTGAAAATGCCGCAACTTTCAAGAAGAAAAGTGGAAGAAGTGCACCTCTTTGATCAAGTGATGTTCAAGGTCCTCCGCACAAGCCAAGTGGTCAAAGCAGGAAAGCATGGACATCTGTCACAGTGAAGCGGTTCAAAAGCAGCTGAGGATGCTTTGAGGATGCGAATCCTGGACACCCAAGAGAGTCTTCTTGAATGTGTCTTGGATCCCAGGCCTCTACCCTTCTCTCAAGCATTTTCAAGCGCATCTCCATATGCTCCTTTCGCAAGCCAAGTGGTCTGAGAAGGGTCCAAAGGAGCTCACATTCATCCCAAGACAGAAACAAATCCTTTGTCTATCCTTTTCATTGCGAGAAGTTAAGACCCCATCCAAGCTCCCAAGAGAGTAAAATCTACAGTAGTACTGTAAGATCACTTCAAAACACCTCAAGGAGCGCTGCTAGCCGCCCTGGCCCAGAGAAAAAAAACAGTGTGACCACTGTCACAGCCGTCCTGAGATGATGCCGGTCGCCTTACCAGTAGAGATGGGCAGCTTTCCGCTCAGAGCCGTGATGTTGGATGGAAGACATGTGAAGTTCTCATGAAGTTCCGCGTGTTACAAAGGACCGAAGTTCAGAGCCGTTCCCAAGAGCTTTCCACGTTCGTCCTGAACATCTGAGTTCCCCTCGCCTGGCCGCGGCTCGAGTCGCGTCCGTCCACCGTTCTCTCTCCATCGAAGAAGGCTCCTGGGCACGACGAGGCAGGAGCTGCGGCCGAAAATGCTGTGGAGATGGGTGGAGCTTCAACCTCTTCATTTGGGAGTTCAGTGGTTTTATGCATCAAGAGTCAAGAGCGAACCAGTACTGGATGCTGAACAAATTCCCCACTGGTCACCGTCCATTTAGGGAAATACCTCTTGGCTCGTGGTTCATGTTGGAAAAAATCACACAAACCATAGAGGATTTGGGCCCAAAAACACTGGGCCACCCTACTTCCTCCGGCGAAAGGGTACGAGACGACAACGGACTCCATGCCAAGCGCTCCACCTGACGGGTCGTGAGAAAGTATCCGGTGTCACCGGTCTAACCAGTGCACAGAAGAATGGACACTGATTGCAACGAGCATAGAAAGTGTGGTTTCATTCGGCTAGAAACTGAAAATCGTGCCCAAGCTGCACTCATCGGTCTAGATGTACCCACCAGTGGTTTGTGTGGTCTCCCCAGTTTAAAAGCAAAAAACATTAAGGATAAGTGAACATCCACGGCCTTGTCGTCCGCCATAGCGCTGTGGGAAGATTGCGGAGACTGCTCTGGCGTCTGGCGGGGAGGGACCCGCATGGATGGAGCTCATGGTAATGCTGCTGTGGAATTGGGTGGCACAAACATGCACAGTATTTGCGCAAATATGCACAAAAGGTCCGCCTTCAATCGAAACCGCCGTGGGGTGAGCACACTTGCACTCTTGGCACGGGCCAGCGAAATGGGCGTCAACATGATGAAATTCGCCGGGTGTTGAGTAAGCGCAACGTCTGAAAAAACATGGCGCGGTCCCAATTCTTTAAATGTTCGTTACTGCTGAGCTTTCGGGCCCTCTCTTCAAAGGCGGCGCTCATGGCGCTCATAGCTACTATAAATCCATGATTTCTCCTTGATGGTCCTGATATGTCCTGATATAGCTGCGGAGAGCTGTGTTACAGCTGCTTGGCATGGGTGCACTTACGACACAAAAGCTGCTCTTCAACGAGGTGAGGAGACACACCTTGGCTCCTTGTCTCCTGCAGATGTGGCTGGCAGTTCATCCCGCAAATGTTTCTTGTAAACAACAAAGAATCGAATGAATCCAAGTGCCTCTCGGAATGTGGAAGCATCCGAAATCCAAACGCTCGAGGCTTGGATCGTTGAGATAGACTCTGTGTACCTGAACAATCCAATAATGGAATCTGCAGAAACGGTCGCTGCGTAGCTCTCATATGATGATTCAATATATATATATATATATGTATTTAATATGACTCAAAAAAAGAAAGCGAATTTGCACCACTCTGCCACCGCTCGTTCTTTTTGTTGTCTTTTTCACGCAAGGCCAATCCCCAAGCGATGCTCCAATGTGCGCAATTCAAATGTCCAGTGCGCCGCATCCTCTCACGATGTTGTTGCTCCAACATGGGCTGACCTCACCTCAAGTGGATTCCAAATCAGCGACCACCACGACCACCCGACACCGCAACCGTCACACGTCTCCGCCCCGTCTCCGCCCCGTCTCCGCCGGGCGACCTGTGATGCATACTTTCCCAGCGTGCCAAAGGATCCCGGCCTTGGAGCTCAGCACATGGTCCAAGACCATGTCACTGACAGCACTAGCACTCTCTTTTTTCCAACACCCCCCCCACACAGACTCCCCCACCACCACACAGACTTCCCCAGCCCCGGATATCCAGTCGGACCCCCTCCTGGGACGCCCCGGCTTCGGCGCCGGCGCGCGCCACTCGCGGCGCCGGGCGGCCAGCTCCTCCTCCGAGAGCGCCACGGAGAGCTCGCGCCGCGCCGGGCGCCTGGGAGGAAACCGGTCGGAAGGAGGAAACACCGGGCGAGTTCATGTGGTTTTGATCTGTGGCCTCAGAACTTTGAGAGACGTTGAGAATCTCAAAACCAATCAGCTTTCATTGGGCATCTCCGATCGCGAAATGCGCTCGTCGAGGGACACGGTCACCATGTCACCATCCACCAAAAGGCCAATGGGTCCGCCAGCTGCAGCCTCCACACCAGTCGGCCAGCGCAGCGAACGAAAAGAAGCAAGCTTCACCGGTCGTTCGTGTCGCAAGCTTTGCGAATCGCTTTAAAAAACAAAAAATGAGTTGGTTAAGCCGCCGGGTAAGTAGGAAGTTGCCCAAGAGATTCTTTCAAATGGCAGTGAATGAAACAAGTGTGCAAGATCCCTAGCGGCCCGACTTATGTTAACGAATGCGACGGGAGTCCGAAGGACGGGTACCCGTTGCGAATGGATGCAAGCCGAACGAACGAAGGCGAGAAGGCACACGAACGAGCGGAAGCGCGTGAGCGAAAGGTGCGGAAGCGAGAAAGCGACGAAAGCAGGGACGCACACAGCACGTCAAAGCGGCACCCTGAAGAAAACCGAGCGGACGCCCAATTTTCTTGAGCCAATGTGGTCGTGGACGGGATGAACATGTTGAACACCCTTGGTGACACGCGACTGGTTGAATGTACATGTAATGAAGATGCTGTTGCATACTAGGGGTACATAAAAGTGGACTCAAAAAGCCGAGCTGAACAAGCGAGTTGGCGAACTTCACGACTTTTAGGAGCTTGACCTTGACTTGAAGAGACTTCTTTAGGTTGGAAAACCGACAGTGGAATGGACCGAAACGGGTTTCGGACGGCGCCGCCTCCGGCGTCACGTGGCCCACCATGATCCCATGGGAAGCACCACTGGCCAAGCGAGAAGGGAGAGGGTGAACGGCCAGTCGGCCAAGCAGTGGAGTAGTGGAGCGGTTCTTCAAAAAGAGATGGGTAATGATTGGGTGATTTGTTTCAGACAACAATTGAAAAAATCAGAAAAGACATGCCAAACAAAACATGCAAAAAAACTCCAGTGGCACGCATGCCCAACACAGATCACCCTTTCAAAAACCGAGTCACTGGAGTCACTCGAGTTCCAGTGGAAGTTCGCCGAGGAAAAAGGAAGGAAAAGGATGAACCGAAAAGGTCAACTGGGGAGATCAACCTACCAAGGTCAACCGAGCCCGAGCCCGAGCCCGATCCGCGGTGCCATGACCCAGCCAGATCTCGTGCCTAAAGCGACCATCGGTGACCAAGGCCACATGCTTTCCGAGCCCAGCGCCCACCAAGGCCGATCCAGGGCTGAGCATCTGAGCCGGCAGTAGCAGAGCCACGAGCCGAAACACGCCGACCGTCATCAATTCATGGCGATTCAAATAGAAAACATCGACTCAATATTAGAAGGCCTTTGTGCTTTTGATAGATGTCCAGAGCTACGAACAGAGCAAGAAGGACGCTACTTACTATAGGGCTCCTGGGCCGTACGCTACGAAGGGAGCAATGTTTGCTCCTTGGAGTCCGGTCCTCGCCGGCCTCTGGCATCCCCGGAGATCCCTTTGGACCTTCGTAGCGGATCACCAGAACGTCCTTGGACGAGAGCCGTGAGCGGAAGCGGCCAAAGCGGCCAAAGCAGAGAGATCCTCCACGGTTTTCTGAGCAAAACCAACATAAACCAACCAACCAACCAGCCAGCCAGCCAGCCAGCCCAAGCAACAAACCGCACGAGCGGTTCTTTTTCACAAGTCCAGACAAGACAAAAATCGTTGGCCAGAAATCGGTGTGGCAACACAGCCTCAGTGCCTGGCACCCTTCTGTATCTTTCCAGCCATGATCGCTTCAAAGGCAGCATCCTAACATCGAAGCCGTCGAGAGGCTCGTCGTCAGAAGCTCACACGACGGACGGACTTTGAAGGGTCCTCGTCGTCGAAGCAGCGAGCAGGACCTGGGGAGCTGCACAAAGAAGACGCATCCCAAAAACAAAAAAGTATATAATAAATAAATATAAACAAATATCAATATATCAAAAATAATATTCTGTTTTAGGCTCCGTTTTAGGCTGGAAATAAGACCGGTTTGGGGTCCAACATGTTCCAACTGTCCGCAAAGGCACCCGTAAGCTCGATGTCTGTCTTCCCCGAGAGCTTGCAAACCTCAAGAGTCACACAGGAGGAGCGATTGACAGATCCGACTCACGCCGACCACGCGCGCGCGCAAGTCGAGCAGATTGGGTGAGAGGCAGCAGACTCTGGAGCCAGATTTCCTTTCAACACCTCAAAGCACAATGTTTGGGAGCTGAAACTTGGTGTGACAAGAACGGGAAGACCAGCTGCGACTTGCTGAAACTTGCTGTGAAACTCGGCCGCAAACCAAGATGTGATTTCCTGCTGGCGCCTCACGAGCCAACGGGCCAACGTTCCGGCGTCGTCGCTCCAGCCGCTTCGCAGGTGGACCAAAATCCCAACTCGAAACCGGGTCGCAACTGAGGACGGGAGCAACTGAGCGAAGCACCAAGGGTTTGGTCACGGGATACAAGACGTCTTGAAGTCCCAAAGCGGCCACCTCCAGCTCGCGCCGTCCACGTCCGCGGCGCCACCCGACGGAAAAAACGGGCTTCGCTCCAAAAAGGGGCAGCTTTCATGCACCAGCTCTGTGAGAAGAACACACCCAAAGCACCGAAGCGAATTTCGTCTAGATCGCGAAGGGAGGGGGAGGCAAAGCAGCGATGCGCGATGCTACGGCTGCAGGTCCAAAAGCGGAGGGGGGTCAACCTACCAGTGAATTAGGGCTCCGAGTTGTCACACAGCCATAATGAGAGATTCAGATTCAATCAGATCCTTCTACAGACCACACAACTCGTGGGCTCTTCGCTTCATTGAAGCTCCAAGCTCGCATAGGTGCTGGAAAAAAACACATAAAACATCCCATCCCATCCCCTCGTGTTCCAAGCAGCAGAAGGTGTGCCCGCGAGATTCTCGGCCACCGTCCTGGCAACCCGTTCGCGCCAGCGATGGTTTTGCGAACGTTGCACGCTGCAGTACCACATGGTCCACTGGAAAACGTTCGCACAAACCTGTGGGTGCTTCATCGTCACTGCGCCAGACCCGATTGACCACGAGACCGAGTCAGGGCCTGCCAGTCACTGTCATGCAGTCCCCATGTACAAGGCCAGCATCCAGCAGCTCCTGGACTCACTTTCTAACTCTGAAAATTCCTGACTGTAGGGCCTATACTCGGGTGAAATCCCTTTCCTGATGCCTGGAACAGGCGTGTGCAATGAAAAAAACACATGAACTTCAGCTCTCCATCGAGCCAAGCTTTGCAAAAACAACAGCAGACGACCGGCGAATAGGGCTCGGAGGCTCCCGCATGACGACTGGTACTCCGCCGATCTTGTCCAGGTCGCTCATGTGATATCTGAAAACAAAAAAGGCACGGTCCACGTTTCCGCCGGAACTTCTGAAACTGGCGTGTTCCACCGCCCTGCCTCTCACCAGTTCAACCACATGACCACCATGCTTGGTGGAACGAAGCGACCGTAAAGCGAGCGTGCCTTCCGTGAGGCGAGACGTTCCCGATGAGAGGCACTCTTTGGCCAACTCGATGGAAATCCTCCGGTCGAGGCCGATCGATCGGATCCACCGAGGTCACACAGCGCACCGAGCGGTGGGCGGGGGTCGTGGGGGTCGGTGGGCGGTGGGCGGTGGTCGGCGTGAATGGATGGCAAGGTGATGTTTGAAGGAAACATGTGTGGATTGCTAGTCGGTAAGTAGTCATAGACTATAGATGTAATGGGCAATAGAATCCAACAGGGAAAACGGAGCGAGAAAAGAACTCAACTCTGCCACCAGGCCAGGGCTTTGGGTTCCAGGGGTTTGGCTTGCACGTAACCGACGTCGTCGTCGGTACGAGTCGTACGCGTTTGGCAACGTTCGTCTTCCTCGATGTTGAACTCGCTCTCTGGTATGCCAGCCTGATGTCGCTTGAGTCCAGTCCAGCCATCAATTGACATCTGTCGGCCTCGTGCGCGATCGCAAGGGTGTGCAGAACGGCATTGGTGCTGCCACCCAAAGCCTCACTCAAGAAGTCCCTCTGAATGTCAGAGATACTAGCTGTATCTCACTTTTTCCAAACGTTTACAAGGAAAAATGAGGCCGGAGTCGGAAAGTGCAAACAATGCTGAGCCGGTTTACTCTCAAGTACAACTGCCTCTTTCTTCTCAATGAAAAACGCTCCAAAAACGTTCTTTTTTGCCTCACTGAGATACGGACATAAACGACCGCGACGGCATTCTCCAGAGCCTCGCAACTGACTCAATCACTCTTCCCGGCTCCACCCTGCTCAAGACGTGCCTTCTTCGTAATGATTTTCCGTGCTGACCTTAAGGCGTCTAAAGAAGAACATTGAAAAAGAGCGAACGCCCGTTTTTTCAGAATTCCTTTCTTCAACACATGATCATATGTACCCAAATGTCAAAAACATCCCAAGAGCACAAAAGAGCAGGCTGGCTTTTGTCAGAACGCTTTGGGTTGTGCAAGGGTCCTCCTCGGACCCTGTTTCAGTCTGTCAGAGACCAGTGAGCAATCTGCTCACAAAGGTGTGGCAGGCAGTTTCAATCACCCACCAAGGCCTGACACACCCTTTGGGTCTCCTGCAGGGCACAAAGCGCCTGGCCGGGAGCCCAGAGAATAAGGGGTCAGGAGGACTCCCACCGGATCCGGTCACGGGATCTTGGGTGGGAAGCTAGGAAAAAGCAGTGTTCGACAGCAGTCGCGGTGCTAAAGAAAAAGAAAATAAGTCCACCGGAGCCGGTAGCCGGCGGTCCGGGACAAATCCTTGAAAGTCCGGAGAGTGGGCGCCCAGGTGTTGCTAGGAGCCCGGCTACATCCCTCACGATGCAATGTCAGTACCAGCTCCATCAGGAGGGCAGCAGTGTGCGGCTTCTTGGAGGAGAGGTTCAAGAGGCTAAAGATATTGCCGGAGTTGTCACTTCCAACAGGCAGTCGGATTCTGCCTGGGACCCCCCCTTGCCGGGAGATCAGGTGCTTACAGGGCAGCAGGGTGCCCAGAAGCTCCAAGGCCGCAATGCGTTTCTGAATGGTTATGGGTGTTGACGTGGCTCAATCTTGTAGTGGAACCAGTGGACCACATCTTTGGTTGGTTGGGAGATGTCCGCGCGCCAGCCCCCAACATATGCATCCCTCATGGCCAAGGCACTAGCATCACTGCAACCCCACCAAGCAGATTTCGGGACGAACGGAGAATAATTACTGTTCGTAAGGCATAGTGAAGAGGTCGGAGGGCACGTTGAAGGAAGGAGCTGCCGGCGGCCCTGGAGGCTCAGCCAGCGGCATCGGTGCAGCGTCAGCAGGGGCAGCAGCCGCCGTGGGGGCTTCCCCCCGACATCTGGGCCAGAGGCACCAGGTGCCGAGGGAGCCTTGGTTTCTCCATGGGGAGGTCAACGCCCTTGTCAGCATCTTCCAAGGCCGCCTGTTTCACCTTCAAGTCCTCCATGTGCGCCACGAGCCGCCTCACCCTCTGCATGACGGAGGGCCATGGAGGCAGCATCCGCCTCCTCATTGAGCGGCGCAAAAATTGGGCTATCCACAGTAGCCACCTCAGCGTCCAAAGTTGGGTCCGCAGCCGCTCCAGGCTCGGCCTCAGTGAAGGTCTCAAGCATCACGTACTCTTCCTCCATAGGATGCGCCATAGCGATGTTCACAAAAGGGAGGCCTATGGGCGTGAGCTTTTTCAATCACCTGTAGGCAACAGTGTTGCCTTCACCCTTGAGCCAAAATGTCTGTCCTGAGGGCGAAGCAACCCCTTCTCTGCCAGCGAAAAAAGTGCTGCAACGACAGCTGCGCAGTCCTGAAAGGGGGCCCAATGGGGCCCGGCGCTGTCAATTCCACCAGCAAGGTCTTCCAAGCGTCTCAGGTTTACCAACGTTCTTTTTGACCAACCCAAGAATTCCACTCTTCATCTCACCTTCTCCCTTCAGAGCTCGCTCCCAATGTCTCTAACACCGCCACAGCCACCGCGCTTTCGTTCCCCACAGCCACCTGCCGCTTCCGTTCCGTCACGGAACGAGGATCGTCCCGCGTCGCCGCGGGCTTGCTGGCCTTGAGGCCGCGTAGGTCGCCGCGATGCACATCGACCGGGCGGAAGGTCGAGGGTTCTTCTCTGAGGGCAGGCACCGTACCAGGCAAGGCCATACCCAAGGCCTGAATCATCGGACCAAGAGGACGCACGGGTTCCTGTATTGTAGTATATTGTAGTCTTGATGGTCAAAGACTGCAGTTCATAGTTTGGAGCTGATAGAAACATTCAATCAAATGATTCCACGAGATGCACGAGATGGACCAAATCCTGAAGCTGGGTGGCTGACTTCAACCACAGAAGCCCTGAGGCTGCGCCAAAGCACACTGAACCTCTCCAGTGCCAAGCTCGTCTTGGCTTCGGGCATGGTACATGCAGTGAACATTGCACTGCAAGATCCACCTGGTTCGCCAGCTGGCAGGCATGAACGGCCACTTTCAGTTCGGAGGCCAGTTCTGGCAGTGAAACACCTCTCTCAAGGACGTTACACGTTTTTTTCAAGGAATGAAATGGAATGGAATCATTTGCTCAGTTGCCATTGATGTTCACCTTTCAAAGGCCCGATGAAACATCTCTTTCAAAGGCCAAACATCTGAGTGGTCCAGCTCCCTGGAAGTCCATGGCACTCTGCTCGATGCAACTCCTGAACGTTCTCGTCCAGAGAACGTTCTCGTCGCGTTCGTTCGCGTCGCGTTCTCGCGTTCTCGTCCTCCAGGTCAATCAAGCCCTGACCATAGGCACCGATGGCTTCCATGACCTGCAATACGACAAGATCTTCACATCTGACATACAAGCATGAAACGATCAACTGGAAAAGAACTGTGCCTTCCCTGGATCCAGCGCTTTGCCCTGCTCCACCACCTATACAGCTGCTTCAAAGAACCGATGGACTGTATCTTCACACTGACATTGTCTCGGTTCTTTCCAACTAACCAGTCCAGTACTCCAGGTGTCCATGGTCTTCGCTCTCCCGTCTTTGGCCTCGCCATCCGCTCCACGTTTCCAGCATCCGGGATGAAGGCCCGGCCTCGGCGCGTTTTCCGGTTCGGCCACAACTGTCTCGCCTCTGCTCACAACTGGGTCCGGACAGTGCAGGTCCACCAAACAGAGATAAACCCAGCAAGTCCTCGATGGAAGACCAGATAGACAGACAGACCGTTGCGCTTCGAAATCAACCACGGTTTGGCAACACAAAGTACGAGCACCGCGAGCACCGCGCAGCACCGCGCAGCACGAGCCGGCCTTGCGGGCCAGTGGCATCACCGCAGCGGGGACGCTCCTGGCAGCCGGAACGAACATTTCTTGATCCAGGACGTTTCTGGTCGTACGGTCTACGAACGGTCCAAGAGTGTAGACTGTGGACTGTTGATGAATAAAGCCCCCCTACCAGAAGAGTTTTACGAGGCTTTACTGATCAACAGTTTACATTGTTTGGTTCAGAATTTGGCCCACAGAAGCAAACAAAATATCCTGGGCTGTTTTCAAGACCCCAACATCGCGCGGCGATGTTAAGCGGCGCTTGAGGATGGCACTTATCGCAGCCGCCCAGCGTGATAATGGCGTCGGCATGGTAGCCCTCGTGCATAACCTCAATGCAGTCCGTGATCACCTGGCCCCACCGAACATTCAGTCGAAGAACCCAGGCGCCGTGGTACGACACGGTTCGGACGAGCGTACGAGCGAGCGAAGACGGTGCACCTCACGGCTGACCAGAGAATATCTCATGGCTTTGCACCCCTGCGATTCACCATCGCTAATCACGGGCCTCAGTGGGAAATCCATGGAAGTTTGGGTGTTGGAGTCTAGGTTGTGGAAAAACATGTGCAAGAAAAAGGCCAGGAGTTCAAGGATTGACTTGGCAAGTAATGAGCACGAATGTCTGTGAAACCAAACGATGGGGGTTTCAATGCTTAGGCTGCTTCAGCATTGACACTGCAGAAACACACAACAAGCTAGCCAACATGAAGGCTCAAACGAAACTGCCAGTCGAATGGACGGCAATCAGCCACTTTACCAGTCTGTGCTCATTACCCGTCTGTGTGGGGTAAGTCCGCGATCTTCCCAACTTGTGAAACGCAATGAAAGCGACGGCCACACAATTCGACAAAACAAGACCCAGCAACAATCAACATTAGCATGCAAGTAACCTCAACCATGCTTCGACAAGTTCAGCACCTGATCGATGACTAGATCGATCAGGTGCTGCCGCTGCCACATCAACCCTTGCCCTGGCCCTCGCTGAAAAAAACACATCAAGAAAAGAACCACGAACCGACCTACGAACCCAGCAGAACGCACTGCAGAACCGCAGACGCCGGAGGTTCGGGCGAGAGATCTCGCTTGGGCGGTCGGACGTGAAGCAAAAGTGAGCCTTGCCACCCAGCTTCTCCACCTGCCGTCGGGCGGCACGCAGGCGGCACTGAAGTCGGGAGGCACCGAAGGCAATGAAGACCCGGAAGTTCGAAGGAGCTGAAAAACCGAAGTCGGGAAGCACCAGGATGTGGCAATGTGAGTGTCAATTACAACAACTGCATCAAAGCTTGCAATTGCAACCTTGAAAGCGCGGGGTGTGATGTTGAGCAGCAACAAGAGAAGGACCAGCAGCCGGGACCACAGCAGACTAGAACCGGTCGAAACAGTGAACCGGGACAGCGAAGCAGGGCCAAGCTGCCAAACATGCAACTCTGCGTGGAACGACACTTGTGTCGACTCGTACCCTGCAAGGGAGACATCGTTTGAACTAGATATTGCATCCGCACAATTCGAAGGTTGCACAAAGGTATAGGTCATCTACGATTTCTTACAACGCACCCCACTTCTTTGAAGTTTGTCAGAATTTGTCAGCACGCCCTAGCACAATGAATCAACAACAACAAAACAAAATTGAAATGCATCATCGGCACAGGCCAAGTAGAGAAAAAACAAAAAGAACTTGTATATCAGGAGTCACAAAGGGGTGGTGTTTAGTCCCTACGTGAGTGGAAGAATGGGCACCCTTAACCTCCATGGATCGCACCCCGACATGTGACGGTATATCAAGTTCAACATCTTTGAAGCCAAACAGCATCGGCGCCTCTTCGGCCAGGATGTCTGCCAGGTCTCGAAACTGCGGTTCAATAAGTCACACGCTGCTGAATAAGAACCATTCTCAGCAATGGCAACCGCTCACCGCTTGCGCGGCCTGGTTGTTGCAAGGCATACTGTTGCTGTACCTGTGCGGCCCAACCACTTCGCCACTGATCCAAATGACTGCCCGTCGGGCACGGGGCAGCAATCGTAATCAATGGCTTTCTGAAATCATCATCCTCGACAAGTGAACATTTCCACGTCTGCACAATGGCTTTCCGTGAAGCCAAGGTAGGACAAGGTTCTGCAAAACGCGGGTCTTACAAGTCCGCCGGCACCTAAGGTGCTGATGCGTAAGCACTTTGTGTTGCAATTTCGGCCCAATGGCACATAGTGTAGTGCTCAGTTGGCTTGGCTAGGGGTTTGCCTTTCTTGAAAGTCATGGCCCTGAAAAGCCGCCTCAAGCCCGCAATGCTGGACATTGCTTTACCTTGACAAGTTGATAAAATCTATGTTGGACGCTTCGGGGCACCTTCCGAACATGGGCCCATCTTGGTTGCAACTTGGCCCAAAATGGCCTCAACTTTAGCAAAGTTGGCTTCAATTTGGCCCCAGTTGGCGCTAACAAACGTCCCAGGGAAAAGTACTCTAAAGTGGCACTGTTGGACTTTTTTGGTGCCCTCACTTCTCCTGGCCAAGCAAGCTGCAGCAGCTACGTGCACGTGGATAGAGTCAGTGAAGGGATCTCAGAACTTTTCCTTGTTGGGGCGTTCCTCTGCAGCTGTTTTTGGCGCGAGATGGGGCTCTTGGGCAACGTGGTGCCCTCCACCACATGCAGCCCCGGAACTTTCCCCAAAAATGTTTCTTGTGCCCAAGTTGAGCCGAAGTTGAAATCAACTTGTGCCCAAGTTGACCCCAAACCAACCCAGGTTGCATCCTGAAATGTCTCTTTTGAAACCGGTCTTACACCTCTGACTTCCTCCTTGGCAACTATAACTGCTTCGCTGCATTTCCAAGTTCACCCGCTTCATCCTTCTGGTGGGCGGCAGTCGCGGAGCGACATGAATCAAACAAGGAGTCAAAATGTCTAAGTCGCCCCTGCCAGCCTTCCAGCCAGCTGCTCGAAAGTTGGCCCTTGCACATGTCATTTTCACGTAGGAATTTGGAGCACCTGGCATGCAAAGCGCATCCCGGATCACACCACTACCACTACCACAGTGTATGACTCACCCCTTCAAATCAACAAAAGCAGCACACTTTGCAGATTTCAGCATTTGCTGAGGCGCACCATCAGGCTTCTTTGGGTCGCCCGTAATTTTGTAGCTCTCCCTCTTTAACCTGCCAAGTCTCAAAGCAGGGACACTTCGGATCCTGCGCGCTCTGAGCTCCCGGACTCTTGATAGCCCGCCATATCCCTTCGGGCAAGAATCGAGGAGAGAGTTGGATGTGAAAGGATATGCAGAGGTTCCCACCGCGCTGGGTGAGGGCGAGGGAAGCCTTCCTAAACCGTCCTAAACCTAAAGTAAACGAACTAAACTTCCTGGCAGGGTGCCAGGAAACGATGATCTAAGTAAAAAAACTTGAGCCAAAAAACATACTGGGCCACAGGATTCTGAACTCCTGTTTCGCTGTGCAAAGACAGACACGGGGGCACCATCCACACCATCCAAGTGCCCAGATTGGACTGTTTGGCGTTGTTGTGCCAGCCTTCAAGGGCGGAGACAAAATTCAAGGAAGGCTTTAGAAAGAACAAGGCAACTAGGCAACTTCAAACTTCCACAACGCAAGAACAAAAGAAGCTGAGAGATTTTTTAAAAAAGAGATGAAACAAAGGACCATAGAGGCTTTACCATCCGTGTCTGATAGGGGAGTTCTTTTCATCCAGATTCCCACAGCTTCCGCAGCTGACCCGCTTTCGCTTCGCTCGCTGTGCGCACCTGACACCTCCCAAGGCGTGGGACCTTCAGCTCGCCGTCGGAAAGCAGCCTGGCGCGCGAACGAGGCGTGCGTTCCACACGCGTTCCAACGAACGAGGCGTGGTTTCTCGGCGGCCCAAAGCCGGTTTTCTCGGCGGCCCAGAGGTTTTCCTCCGTCCTTTTCAGCTTTTCCGGGCGCGCAGCTCAAATGAGTCGTTCTTGGAGACGCATCACGTCGAGACACATCACGTCGGTCGTCAGCTTGGAGAACTGGAGACGCGAGCACCCCTTCTCCTCTGTTCGTCGTTTCCTCTTCTGATCCCGGCGTCGTGCAGAACACCCGCAAAGCCGCGCCGTGAAGTCTCAGGTTCGCCTCTCTTCGTCCGTCTCTTCACCGCGACCAAACACCCACCGTCCGGTTCCACCGGGGGGGGGCGTCATCCTCATCTATTGAGTCAGATCGGTACGGCCTCGGCACACCATTGCTCGGCCTCGGTCCGATCTGAAAAGAAGGCCACGCCTCCAAGCTTGGTCGTTTTGCAAATGGCTCGAGCGATCGCCATCAAAGGTCGAGGACCCAGGACCGCCACATGCTTCAGCCGGTAGGATTTCTTCCGAACAAAACGGACGATGCAAGGCACGGCCAGGGGAGAACAGCCAATGCCATTGCGCATGTCCACTAAGACAGAACATTTGATGCTGGAATCGATCTGCGCCATAGCCGTACTGCAGTCCTTCAAGAGATTCTCAGTGGTCTCAGCCGTCCCAAAGCCAAAAAGCTCGAACTCAATTCGGCCGTCCTTCCAAACAACGATCTGCGAATTGCCCACAGCATCCGAATGCGTAGAGTTCATGATTGGAGCAACCGAGGCCTTTGGAACTAGAGCAGGGTGACCGCCGTTGTACCGTCCACTCTGCAGAAGTAGAGGACACCCCAGAACTGCCACGCAGAACCAGCCTCTCCACACCATGACGATGCGTCGTGACGAGGGTCGAGGCTACATACACTACGTGCCATGTCCGACTCTCGAGCCCGATGGTTGAAATAACGCTTGCTTGGTCATCCCCTTGCCAAGACAATACTCTGCTTGCAGGTGATTTAGCGCTCTTCCTTTCTCTAAGAGGTTTGGACCGGTTTGCAAATACATCGAACTCACATGCTCAGAAGGTCACTTCCTGATCCTTCTCCCAACAAAAACTAAATCTCCAAGAACTGCTTGGCTGCTTGGACCAACTGGTGAGAGACTGTCCAAAGAAACGACCACAAACACCGACCACGAGGTGAGCAAAAACCTGTGAAAAGTTGAAATCCCAACACATATCAAGAACTCCAACCGCGGAAAGTCAACGTGGCATAGTTGAAACGAAACAAGTGAAAAAAAAATGCCCCACAATTGACATATGTCATTCACTGGAAACAAAGGAAACGGAATAATTCACAGGTCTGTGCGTGGACAATTTCCTCAGTGCCTAGCAAGAATGCAAGGAGATCGTTGAAGGCTTGCTATGTCCACCCTCACACCGTGGGTTGAATAGACAACCCAGCCGACAACATGCCTGCCATGTGGTGAAGACATACGTGAAGACCGGGTATACCGACCACCCCCAAAAAAAGAAGACCTGCTCATTGCGCTGTCTGCATCGGATGTGATCCGGGCATTGCCCTTTACCTCGGAAAAGACAAAGGAAATGACTCACTGTCCGTCTCCGAAGCCGACTCACTGTCCGTGAAATCCATCCATCCGCACAGGTGTCGGTGAGAAAGCGGCATGTCTTCCACAAGGCGGACTAGTATCGTTTTGGTTCACCCCATGATGAATGAGTTGATTCTCTTAGCATCCGGCAGGTCGGACATGAAATCCGCAGCTCAAATCCTCAGCCCCACAGCGTCTGCCAAACCAATTACAGAACACCCACAGCTGTTCCTAGAAGTATATAAAGAAGACTTCAGAAAGCGACTTTGCTCCTGGTAGGAAGCAGCGATTTCCCAAGTCTCTTTCTAGTACACCCCGAGTGGCACTACTAGGAAGCGGCGTCACCTCTTCTTAAGCCTTAAGCCAAGGCACCAGAAAGCTCTTCCAAGGACTGCGTCGCACAAATCTGAGCGGCCTGGCCCTGAGACATGGCGCCGCGCTCGCGGGGACCGCAGAGAGCGCCGCGCTGCCGCGCGGAAAGTCGGAGAGGGAGCGTTTTCGTTCGTTCCAGGTCGATGAGAAAGGAGCGAGACGGAGGCGAAGCATGTTTCATCTTAAGCATCTGCACGACAAGAGTCTCCGTCTCCAAACGTCAATACCGCACCTTAAGGGGGATGGGATCACATTGCTTCATCCCCGGGATGACCCTCTCGATGTCCATTCCGGTCCTCGGACCTCCTTCCCGACCTCTTCGCTCGCCTCATCCAGTGACTTCAAGGCCCAGCAGCAGAGGCTGCCAGAGCTCGCAGGGTCCTGAGAGCCAATCTGCACCAAGGCGCCTTTCTTTGGAAAAAGAGAAAAGACAGAGTTGAACTGACCTGAAGTGAACTGCAGAGAAACCCTGTCATCTTCCGAAACCCTGTCATCGTTTTGGACGGACTTCCCCAGTCCGTGCCGACTCTCTCCCACGTCTCTCCTGTAGCTGTGCAGGACGCGGTGCGAGCGACCTCGGAAGGGCGAGAAACACGCCCAAAGCGTCCAATTCAGGACATGTTACGAGCCATTCACACAGGTTACGAGCATGTCTGCTGAGGAGACGGCGACCTCGTTTCACTGGGCGAGGTCGCCGGCACCTGAAGCGAAGGATTTAAAGGATCACGTTGAAGCCACCGCGGCTTTGCCCATCGGCACCCGCCTCGAAGGTTTCTGCCTTCCTTTGAGGTGTTGCAGAAAGGGAAGCAACCGTACCACCTGTCATGCTTCGAAAGGTGTGATCTTTCAGGATCGTCCAAACAACCTCCCTTGCGGATGATGCGCAGATGATGTGCGGATGACTCACTGGGTCTTTTCGATGGATCTTCGCTGTGTCCGTGCGTCCGTGACGAAGAGCTTTCGCCACCTGTTACAGGGCCGCAAAGGTTGGGCAAGTGTGCAGGAAGGAAAGAAAAGACTGGAAAAAGAAAAAGCAGAAAAATGCAAAGGGACACTCTTCCAACCTGCAGCGCTCTTGTCTGAGACTCATCAGCTAAATCAAGGAAATGTTGGTGGCCTTGGCTGCAATCCTAACCCAAAGAACATGGAAAAATCAGACTAGCCAAACTAGGAAAGAAAAATCACCGTCAATCGACCATCAATCGAAGAATTCCCCCCTTTGAGGTGCTGACTTTCAGATGCACATGATTCCGCGGCAAAGCACAGCGCCAGCAGGGGAACGAAAAGCTTCAAGTCTGGCACATCATCGACAGATGACAATTCGGTGACGACAGACTGCGGATGTGACGCGCCTCTCATCATCTCCAGACCCAAGAGGGACCAGCGCCACGGTCGCATCGCAATGACCTGAAGCGCCGTCAATCAGCGGTGCGACCGGTCAATCACGCAGTTTCTGGGGGATGAAAGAAATGTTTCATGTCCAGTTTGCACTTGCCTAGGTTCTTGAATGCGCGATGCCTAGGCAGTTTCTGGGGAAAACGAAGTGCGAGGAACCCCAACGGGACGCCCGGCCCATGCGGCGCCGCTTTCGCTGGTCCAGGCGCTCGAGGTCGATCCACCTGGTCCCGGCACCCGAGTCCAGCAGCATGGACCCGACGGTCGAGTGAGTGAATTCAATGAATTGTGCCGTTAAGTGCTCAGTGAAAAGAGCCAGCTCCGTGAAAACGGAACATGTCACAACAAAATCAGCATGTATATATTTATATGTAGTATATTATATAGATAGATGATAGATATCACATGGCACAACCTGTGGAAAACTAAGTGCACCACTGTGCGAGAGAAGCCTCGTCGTTGTGAGGATCGATTCCCAATGGGTGCCGCCACATGCCGTGAAGACCGCACTGAGTCCCTGACCCTCGGGCTGGCATCGAATCACCAGCAGCTGTTTGAGGGTTTGCAAAGCCTGATACCATCCACTTCCTTCTTCATAAGCAGTGAGAACTGCATTCTCAAGTCCGGAATCGGAGTTCCGGAGAGGTGAGAATAGCCTCTCAGAAAAGACCTGGCTGAGCCAAAAGCTTCTTCGCCAAGAGAGCTTTGCAGAAGAAAGCAGCATCACACTGCTGAGGACGTGGTCACATGTGGTGTTTTCAACTGGCATCGAGTCAACTCTTTCCATCAGCTGGATCGAAGTCTGCCAGGGCACAGCACTGCGTCCCGTCCTTCCCGAGGTGAGCCAAGTACTCCAAAACACCTCATCGACCCGTAGGGTCTTGGAACGTAGGGCATCCAAAAGCGAAGAGCTCTGCTGCCAAGAACCGGAACCCAGGAGGTTCCAGGAAGCCAAATCGGGTTCCAAATGCCTGTAGCACATCTCTTGAAACATCTTTTGATTCTGATGCCAAGACATTTGGCCGATGGAGTTGTACAGCAAAACATCGGTTTCTACTGCTGCGACCTGAATTTGTGTCAACAAATCCGCGCTCACCTGCCACTTCTGCGACCTGCTGCAAGTTGCCAGAGATGATCCAAGAAATACCTCGTTCATGTCCCTCATCCGAGGTCCTTTCGATCGGTTGCCTCGCTCGCCTCGCTCTAGCAGCAGGCTGGTGATCAACCAAGCCTTCGCTCGAAAGCTCTCGGGATGCTTGGTCTGCTTTGCCGCAGTCATACATGCACTTCCCAGAACGGCATAAAGCTCTTCCAGAGACTGAGCTGCTGCACCTGCACTTGGCTGAGCTGCTTCTGCTTCTGTTTGGACGCCTCTGACCAGAAGAAGCTCCAAGACTCTCAGCGCCGAAGTCCAAAGGCTCGCCGCCATCATGGCCGATCCAACGGCTCCCCCCCGCCACCGAGTCCGCCCGAAAAGCGGACTCGTCCACCGAGCCCACCGGCTCGTCCGCCCACGATGTGGGGGGCCTTGCGCCCTTCCAGAGGTCCAGGCAGCGGCTCCACGTCTTCTGGCGCATGAAGGCGGCCAGGACCGAGTTGCGAGTAAAAGCATCGGTGACCGAAAGAGAAAGCTGCTGTGTTCTTCGCAAGAGGCCAAGGGACTCCTTCCAGTTCACCGATCGCTGCAAAGCACTCAAACAGAGGTTGTGTGACAACAAATTGCTTTCGATGTGCAATGTGCGAGCTGAGGCCAATAGATCTTGCGCCTTCTTGGAGTGTTTTTCACCATAGTGTCCAAGAAGGGTGTTTAAAGTGACAACATCCGGGCGAGGTCCCTGCTCATTCATATGCTCCAAAAGCTTGCTGGCACGTTCAGAGAGTCTCGCCCGACAACATGCAGAAAGTGCGGCATTGAATACAAAAGTGTTCACAGGCCAAGAAAGGGTCAGGCAATCATCAAGCATTTGCAATGCCGACTGCCACAAAACACCCTGTGCCAGGCCATTGGTAGTGGCAGCGATTGAAACCACATTCGGCCTAAGACCTTGATCAAACCATTCCCTCAAAGAGGCCAGGGCAGCAAACCACCTGCCACGACGAGCATCGGTCAAGAGTAACTCAAACTGTGCTTGCTTCGCCTCGGCAGGGTGGCCCTTCGGCCGACCCGGCGAACGACCGGCCCGGTTCGGCCGCTGTGAGACGACCGGTCTTCCATGCGAGGCCAACGTGCTGAGACGAGGAGAGTCACATCGCATGAAAAGCAGCGACTGATCGAGCCGTCCGGTGAGCCAGTTCGGAACCCACGCGCAAGTCCTTGTTTTTCACCATTGATCGTGATTTTTGGAACTCTGGGTGTTTCACATGGCATGGATTGACTGGCGAAAAAAACACGAAAAAACTGGAAGCAAGAAATGAAGTTGCAAGAAGTTCTGGCCTGGCTCATTCGCCTCGATCTTGGACGAACAGCGCGACTGGCGCCCCGGTTCAGAGCAGAGCCGCTCATCCTTGACGGACAGCCGTCGGTCGTTTCTGGAGAGTCTGGGTGCCTGCCAAACATCGCACAGAAGAGCAAAAGACCCTTCAAGAGCGAAAGACCCTCATGCTCGAAGCTTGTTCTATCTTGTTCTCTTCATCCTCCGGCCTTGACCGGGCGCCTTGGAGGGTGCTTGGTGGTCACCCCTTCTGGTGTTCGTGCCTCTTCGATCTGTGCCTGGCATCACGTGGAACGTTCAGCAGTTCAGCGGATCAGAACTGGAACAGTTTTCCTTTCCTTGTGGCCCAGAAAAAGAAAGTTGTAAGAACCAAACAAAGAAAGGGTGAGTGTTCTTTAAAGGATGTTTATTCTTCATCTTTTTGGGTGAATGGTTCATTTAAAGCGCACCCAAGCAATAAAACGCTGGGTCCCTGAGCTGAGGCCTCACGAGCTTCACGCTTCGGTTGCCAGGTGCTTTCCATCAACCGCAGATCCTCCTGTCGGGTCGAGTGTTGGTTCAACGAAGCACAACATGCTTTCCGGGAAACGGCGCCCTTTGAGAGGAGGAAGGAGTCTTGTTCTGACTGGCGAAGTAGTAAATCGATCCCCAAAAAATGGTTCGAGAAGCTGTCCCGTTCTCCCAACGTTTCGGTCCTTTTCTCCATGTGAATGAGGTTGACCATGGTTGACCCCATGTGAACCATGTCATGAATCTGTGCCCTCACATCACCCGAAAACGCCGCCGCTCTATTGGCGCGCCGGATCGATCCTGGCGAGGGCGAAGGGTGACCGGCTCGGTGGGCATCGTGATGGGCATGCGGACCTCCGGCGTGCGGAGGTTCGCCTCGTCGCTGCGGAAGGATGCCTGACATCGCTCGTTCGGTGGATTTCCCAGACGAGAGAGGGGCCGGTTTTTGGTGCGAGAGAGGGGCGTCTGAGGGGTGTTTTCTTTTTGTTCAGCAGGGTGTTTTTCCTAATCTAGGGATATTTAGGGTATCTATCTATGTATATACATATATTTTTTTTCAGATTCTTTTTTTGGGGGGGGAGCCCTTCTCGGCAAGTCCTCCGTATTTGAGATACACCGATGACATTGGAAAACATCGGGCCGACATAAGCACAAGGATGTTCAGCAGCTGAAAGGGAAGTGAATTCATGCGTTGCAGTCCAGCCTGGGCTTGGATAGGACTTGGAATCTGCACGTGGTCCACGCACACAGTGAATCCACAGCCTTTTGCATGTCTCGCCTCGTCTGGAGCCATGGTAGAGGATGAGAGGGCACCACCATCCTGGCTGACACAAGGAGATACAACTCAAAGAAGTTGTCAGATGCAAAGCCGTCACTCCTTCTTCAACACAAAGCCATCACTGAGGGTTGCTGGCGGGCCCTGAGACACTACCTTAGACACACGCTCAGCAGTGTTACGAAAAGAAACGATGCGGAAGCACAAAAAGGTGGCTACTTCAATTCTGCAAACGGCCTGCGTAGCTGGGCTCACAAAGCAAGAGAAAGCTCACCCAAAAGAACTTGCGGACCAAGCGTCGGGTTTTCCAAGACCCAAGGGACTTCGAACATCCTGGCCATCAGCTGAAATCGAGACAAAAGCAGGGTCCAACCATCGGCCCTAAGGTCAAGCGCTGCTTGTGTTGTAGAAGAAAGTCGCTGAAATGCCCCAAAATCTGAGAATTTCAGTTTCAGGCCGCTGCACCAAACAAAGAAGCGAGTGTTAAACAAAATAGGAAAAACACGAGTGTTAAAACAACACACCCAAACGTCCTCGAAGGTCGAGTCCTCCTTCGAAGCGTCCGGACTCCTCGCGGCTCCGACGGACCGAGCGTCGCTCCCGCGACGGGTCGCTCGGCGGTCCTGGACATCCGAGGGCCTGGTCGAACGGGCAGGTTCGTTCGGGACACGAAACGAAGGGGGTGAGGATGGTGAGGATGGGAAGGCCAAGATCGTCCATCTTCCGGAAGGAAGAGATCACGGAGATCACGCTCATAAAGGAGTAGAATGGGCGCAGAGAGGAGGGAAAGTTTCACCGTCACCGATCTCATGGGTTTGGAGTGACAGTTCAATGCGAGTCGTTGAAGCAAGACAATCAAGTCAGTCACTAAGGGCTTCACAAGAATACTGACTGCCATAGGAGCTCCTGCCACTAATGCGGCCTCACTGAGAGCTTTGGATTTTCTCTTCAAAAGGAAAAGCCCGACTGTCAGCCACAGGAAGAAAGCGGAAACCCAAGACTCGCACCGACTGTGGACTGTACATGGCCCTCACAGCAGGCACAAGTTGTTGAGTGAGTTCACAAAGTCAAAAATCAACACTCGCTGAACATGAAATGAAATCACTATAGAATCACCTGCACCATGCAGCCTGCTTGAGTAACAAGTCGCAAGAAAAGTAGAGTCTTGATTCATAAACCCCCCCTATCAAGAGGTGTCCGGCAAATGCCGGAATGGGGCGGAAGGTGTGGGCGCGCGACCGCCCGCTAGTGAGTGCATTCAAGTGGGGTGGATTTATTAATCAAGAGTGGACTTCTAAAACTGACACCTCAAGTGCTTGAGTCTGCGAAGTCCTTCGACAAGTCATCAATTGGGATCATTGCAGTCCTGCCACCGTTGCGATCGCGTTGCAGCACTGACACCTGTGATGGTGCGAACCTGAGCCCCGAGTCGGTACGTAACGGACACGCTGAACATGTATCACTGCGTCAGGTCCATCTGAAAGTGTATCAAAACGCGGTTCGACCTCGCGGTTCGACCTCCTGGAAGCGGAAACCGACCCAGTCTACCCAGTCTACCGGCGCTCGGAGGTCTGTCTCCCCATTCAAATACACACCCATGCGGGACTCGACAGAAGCGTGGCCGACCTCAACATCGGAGGTGCGGGGCGAAGCCGATGTCAGCGGCACAAGCCTAGGCCAGGCTGCCAACGGGCGTGGGGAAAGTGGGCGGCGAACGACATCCCCAAACTCCGCCCATCTGATGGCCTGCTGGTGTAGGTCTGTGATCTTGGAGATGAATAGGTACGATGCACCTGCCGAGCCACGCGTAGCCACGCGTACGCGTGGCACGATTCGACCGGTCCTCGCGCCCCATCTCGACCGGTCTCCGGCTCGGTCCTGCACGTGGAGATCCCGCGGAGACGTGCTGGTCGAGAGGCGACCAAAGCTCCCTCGGCTGCTTTCGGCATCGATGCGGCGCTTTCGGCGTCGCTCCGTTTGGGGAGGGCGAACTGGGGTTTGGGAGTGGTTGACGGGTGGGATGGATTCAGAAAGGCTTTCTTGTGCTCAATTGAAGATGAAGAAGTCTGCACCCAGCTTCCGCACGTTCGTTCCTCCGAGCTGCTGAATCGTTGCACTGGCACGGCAGCTGACCCAGGTGGAGAAGCCGCGGATTTGCATTGAGGCACCATAGGTACCTTATACTCACCAACACACTGCGCTCGCACGCTTCGCTCACTCAAGACTGGGGCATGTACACCGTTGAGCCACTGAGGCACCTCATGGAATTCGTCGCTTTTCCCAACACGTCGACAGCGGAGACGAAGGACACCCGCATGACGACTCCGACGACAGCACTCGCATGACGACTCGAGCCTGAAGGTGCGGTGAAGAACACCGTGGCAATGCGTCTGCTGGACGCAACTTCACCTTCGCAACTTCGCATCGTTTTGGTACAAAGGCAGACACTGGGTCTGCACTTGAGGCACTGACAGGGCTCACATGATGAAGACTTGGAGGTGGTGCCGGAAGAGATGGTGGCAGAGGGCAACCACCCCAATCTGAGCATCCAGCATTGTGCTCTGCCAATCCTTTCAACACATCCTGACGTGTCCTTATGTCCCTTTACTTGGAAACAGGCTGGATAAGACATTCGAAGGTTCACGAGAAGCCTGCGAGCCAGCGAATTGAATCGATTTGGCTTGGAGATGGAAATCCTTTGAAACACCAGCTGCCTCTCTTCTGTAGACAGGCACCACCAAGGAGCGTGGCTGCCCAAGGGTCCTTTCACAATGAAAACTTGCGATGTCTCTTCAGAAGATGAACAGTGTCCTCTGTATACCGCCAGGCCATTTCGGTGCAGGCGCGCAGTAAGAGCCTGAAGAAACCTCTCGCGGCAGCGCGGTCAAAAACAAACCAGAACGTTGGTTCAAACAAAGGGCTGAGCTCGCCGCGACGATGGGGCCAGGGCTGAGAGTCCTTGCCTGGGTTGGTTCATGACAATGGGTTTCGACTTTGTTGTTTCCTCCGTTTTTGGGCTTCGAACCCGTTGCACCTGCGCCGGCGTAGCAGCCGCGGGCCCTGGCGCACGGACCGGCGTAGCAGCCGCGGGCGCCAGCGGCTGGAAATTGGTCACCTGCGAAGTGCAAGACATTGAGCAACAAGGAGTGGTCATTGAGCAGCAGCGAAACCAAAATAATCATGGTTACGTGGAGTTCACGCCCTGAAACATGGTCGTTTCAGGATGTCCAACATCCGTTTCAACGGCCATGAAAACGTGACCAGTGATTCTTTCAGGGAGTGTACAGCACACCAAGAAAGATGAAAACTGTTTGATAGACATCTTGGATTCGGGCTGGCTCTCGAGGGTAATCGTCGCTGAAAGGGGCCTTCGGGCCGGATGCCTCCTGCACCACTGCGGCTGGACGCCCACCATTTCTGTGAACTGCGAAAAGATATTTTTAGGTTACAGAAAAAAGAATAGTGAAAAGGGATTTTAAGTGTCCAATAATTGTTCCAATACATTTAGTCTTCTTTTTCCAGTCTCTCAATGAAATCTATTCATTTTGATGAGTCGACAGCTCGGAATCCGACGCTGGGAATCCCCACGGAGCTGCGCCGAATCTCCCTCGGAGCTCTTCCGACATCGATGTTGCTGCAAGAGTTGCGCAACATGGCAACATTCCCCAAAATGAAAACCAAACGGGCTTAGCGGTTTGCTGCAAGTCCGTGCAGTTAGCATGCGTTGAGCATGGAACACTGCAAAATACCCTCAAGCCCTCAAAAGATGAAGTCATGGTCGTGCAAAAATGCAAGCAGGACCCAAACTTTCAGCAGGTCCAGACTGGAAGGAGAATCAGTGTAGAACGTCCCATCGTTCCAACAGATTGACCATCATGTTCCGGTCAAGAAGCTTGTGGCTGCAAGAGTTCGGAGAGCCGATCTGATAAGCGATTCTCAACTCGCTCGCGTGGTCAGAACGAAGCAACACGTACCAAGAAACCCGTGGGGCGGCATAGGCATTGCGCGCCTTTTTCCGATGCTTCACCTCTTTCGTCACTCTGCTCTTGTATGCTCAAAGCTGGCCTCACAAGCCCATCAGCAATGAGCTAATGTCCCACACATGGGAGTGCTGAAACACAAAATGGTCACCATCATTCAGGTGACGACATAGGAATCACAGAACACTCTTTCTGCTGCCAATTGCGCACTCATTTCCAAGAAGTTGGCACTCATTCCGCCAGGGGTACCGTAGGAACCACAAAAGTGAATTGCTCGAGCGGCAAGTGAAAATGCACCCGCCCCAAGGAGTGCGCCAAAGCTCGTGGAACACAGGGCACCTCCGCTGCCCTGACCAAGAACCAGCGCGGGTCGAGGTCCACCAGCCCCTTCACCAGGGGACCAAGTCCCATGCGCAAGAGCCCCTCGGCCATCGTCCACGCCACAGATGTGCCATAGCTGTGTCCGCAAAGCACCAGCCCTCCTGCATCGCCGTCGATGTGTTCCAGCAAATGGTGGCCTTTTCCAGCAAGTGGAAAGAAAGAACATGACACCAGTTGTTCGACCCCAAACAGCAGCTGCAGCTTGATGTTTCTTTTTGCTAGCGAACCTTGAAAGTGTTTCGCCGCCAGCTTCGAGCCATGCGAAACAATTGAGACAAAAGGAAGACAAAGCAGAATCATCTCAGCCCAAGCATCCAAGAAGAGCCATGGGAGACAAAGCGCGGATACAAAAGGAGACTTAAGGCCTGGCCCATCATCTTGGCCCAGGATCGTTTCTATGCAAGGAAAATCAGCACCCCTCACACCGCCGTCGAGGGAGACGGTGGGATTCCTTCTTATACTTATCAGCTTCTCAACCAGCAAAAAGATTTGCGCTGCCTGCTTCATCACCCCGTCTCGCACCGCTTTGCACAGCTTGGTAGGCACCCCTTGACACACCATAACCGCTCCAGCGGACACGGTGTGTACGAATTCTCTCCCCACAATCCCACACACGTACAGTAGGCGTCATACATGTACAGCAGATTCTTGATTCATCAACGCACCCTATTCTGAATTGAAGCGCCTCTTTATATGGAGGGGTTAATCAGTTAATCATGAAGAGCCTTTTCTTTACATTTGACATGTGGAAAATTGAGAGGAGAGATGCGTTTTCCACGCACCAAAAGCGTGTCTTCGACCAGGCAACCTTCATGACACACCGGAGAAACGAAGAGAAACGAGGCGTCCGAGACACGATGCGGAACAAACCGTCCAGCCTCCCACGCACTCTGGAGCCTGTCCAGCCCCTCCCCCTTGACCTTCCTGGCCTGAGTCCCTCCCTCCGTGTCTGCACAAAGCAATGAGCCGGAGGAGGAATGCCACGCTGGAGAGTCACAAGAGAGGAAAAAGAACCAACTAGAGACCGCCGATGCGGAAGGAGGCCGAAGAAGGAGGCCGAACTTCGAGCAGAGATCCCAAGAGGTGCACCGATCCGAGCTGAGCAGAGGAAGTAGCCTTAAGGCTTCTTACGACTACGTCCGCTTCTTGCCACGTTGGTAGCGATGGCCTCCCAACCTACTTGCAATGGCCTCCACCTAATAGCCTCCTCTTCCCCTCTGTTTGTGATTGAGTCACAGGCTTCATCGCCTGAATGGCATATTGCGCTCATGTACGGACGCCCCCAGGGCACAGGCAAGGAGCAGGCGATCGTCGCAAGACAATCCCCAGCAGCACTAGCGCTTCCGGAAAATCAACAAACCTAGTGACCTCACCAAACATGTGAGATGCATCCAGAGATTGAACAAAAGGACCGGCAATCAAGATCATTCATCACGTCAAATACCCATCGATAACTAAGTAACTAGCAACGATTTAGACTGTCAGCGAGTGGCTCATCAGGAAACAGGCTGACCACGCAAGGTCTCCTCCACATACTCGAGCGGTTGTGCCAATTGCGCAGCAAGCAACTGCGCCAAATTCACAAATTTGGCCTCAGCTCAACTCAGCAAGCCTACTTTGCTACGGTTTTCTTTGGGAGTTCGCAAAAACACGTCTAAAAGAAAGTAGAACACTTTGTGTAAAGGCTTTCAGGTAATTTGCAGTACTCCGCTTTCTGGCCATCCCTGGGAAGCCAATCAGTTTGCAGAGTCTGCAAGGTTTCCGGCTTTCGCACAGTGAGGGCTTCGACATAAAGCAGCGAGGGCTTCGATGCGCAGGTCCAACGTGGTCAAAAAGTGGATTAGCTCGATCCTCTGCTTCAAGCCCAACATGATGCAAAATGGATACATATTGTATACATGAGATAATATATGATATATATATATATATTATATATACATATATGGTACCCCCCCTATTATGTCTTTAGTTGTATCCATGTTTATATATGTACAACATAAAAGAATGCAGAACGGATCAGAAACAAAAAACTTCTTAACAAATCTGAACAAGGAGCAGGAGCCATTAGGCACGAGCATTTCTCGTGGGCCAGTTGAGTTAATGAATGTTGGCCTTGAAACACACTAAAAAAGCTTGGCACGAAGTTTTCGCAAGGTCAAACTTGGCAAACTCAAGCTTCAACATGTACGACGGACAGCTGGAAGGTCCAACTGCACGCCCAGTCCAAATGCGACCGTTGCGCCGTGAGGCCTAAGAATAGCAAGAATGAACTTCCGTTTCTGAATTCCAACTGCTGAACATCGAGCCTCGGTGCGGGGAAATGCTGAACGCTTGATCAGGCATGTCTGAAGGCTCTTCCTTCGGGTTTGCCTATTGAGCGCATGGCCGTGAGTTAGTGGGGTCAAAGCATGAAACGACTGGTAAAGTTCCGAGATCACATAGAGCAAACAGCCCATCAGCCGAGCATTTGTCGGATGAGCGTTCAGTGCCAAAGATCAACTGCCAGTCGGTTCCTTGGAGTGGGCATTCACTGCAAATTACGCGAAGTATGTTGACCAATACGAGCTTGATGTGTGCAGGGGCTGCCTGAATTTGAGCTCATCTCATCTCATCTTCTTCTGATGCCCAGAATCAAATGCTCTCGACTATGGCAGTGCATGTGGCTTATGACTTCAGGGCCCAAGTGACTCAATCAATAGAAGGATAGACGAACAAAGACGATGCTTTTTTGCCATGAGTGTCAGTTGTTCAGGGCCCCATCGCTGGTGACAGCAAGGTCAAAGGTTTCCAGCGAAAAAGTGTCCAATTCTGTGGTCTTGGCTGGTCAAGATCCCAACAAGTCATGCCACTTGGGGGACTTTCCGGGCCGGTCCAAGTGCCTGGCGCAACTCGTGCGAAAAAAGTGGAGAAGTTCCCCGAGCATCCGGGCGCCGTTGTTCGGTGTCCAGTGAAGCCCACTGGTGCCGCATCCGGGCGCTGTGTCCCAGCTTGCCACTCTCCTTTCCCTCCAAAATCTGATGCGGAGGACCTGCCAGTCCGGCAAGCTGCATTTCTCCAGGCAAGGAAGTACCTCCTCCAAGGCGTTCAAGCGTTTGACATGTACTTGATGGCCTACCTGCTTCAAGCGTTTGACATCACTGCCCATCGAAACGAGTTCAGAAAAAAGCAAGCTGGCGACTTCAGCGCGATGCTGCAGTGAGCAACAGCAGGCACTGCAAACGAGGGGCTTCGTGACCAAGCTCTTCCAGCTGGCGTCATGTCGTTCGTGCAGCACAGCAGCGTCCAGCACAGCAGCGCGACATCACGTACAAACAAAAACGTTGGCGTTGATCATGATCATCAGTGGCCGTAGCACGCCGGCGCCCGGGCCCCTGTCGCACCCCGCAGCGCATTCAGGAACCCACCATGCGCCGCAGCGCTTTTCAGAAGACCAACTCCTCCACATGCCACCGTGAGCCGCCTCCCCGGTCCGTCAGCAGCACGTTAGCAGCCACCCACCAGTCCCCCGATCCGTCCGTGAGGTGAGGGACGCTTCGTTCCTCGGTCTGAGGGTGACGCTTAAGAGCCCCGATGCCCGCGATGCCCGCGATGCCCTTTGCTCCTAGTAGCTTCTTGTTAGTAGCGATGCCCTTAGTTCCTAGTAGCGTCCGATCGCTCCTAGTAGTGCCAAACGGAGCTAGGTCTGGCATGGCTGGGACTTGAATTGAATCTATTGCATTGCCATTGCTCGATCGGACTCGAACTTTGGTATGCTGAACTCAAGGTCAACATAGGTCGAGTCTCGAGCGGGCATGGCTCAAAAACCGATCAAGAATTTGTTCTAATGGACTCTTCTTTCACATAGTTCTTCCGCAACACTCTCGCCACTTGCATTTGGGCTTTCGCACGCTGCAGTCTGTGCAAAACAACCTTTGCAAGCGTTCGTGGAGAGGACTGTTCTACATGAATCATGGGATGTCTTACTTACATGCACGTCATTCCAAATATGACTGTCTGCTCGTATCAAAAAAGCAGCTTCTGCAAGCTTTCGCACATGAAAAGTTCTGTCATGAATCTTTCACGACCATGTGGTTACCTTGTCACGAAGGCACCTTACATTAAGGTCTCTTTAAACTATTATTTAGGAACTTCACGTTAGAGGTTTTGGTCGCTTCTCTTTCGTCGATTTTGGCCGAAAGCTAAGCCAAAGTCGTGTGTCTGAAAGCGCTCTGTGAGCTTTTGCGCTGGCAAGAACTTGCAAAGCACCGGACATGGCTTGGATGGTGGATTTAACTGAATTGCAGCCTCGACTTA